TCAATGACAATGACATGCAAGTGACATTTAACATTGCGTCTCACTAATTAAAGTTTGCGTGTTTAATGTTTATCAAAGAAAGCAAAAATATATACAAGACAATCTCACATGTGGAATTTGTTCACTTACGTACTGCCTTGTGATGCAGTACAAGTATAAATACAAAAGACAAAGCATTTGTAAATCCTAAAACATAATTAAATCATACGGCACATTCAAGATTTTATTAAATATCGTATTTCAGCTGCGTTTATACTGCTTGGCGCATTCGCTGCGTTATATTCATTTATATACACAGAAAAGCATCAAGCATGTCATTGTCCTTCCAGACCATAGGCAAAAAGCATTTGTCAACCACATACCAAATTTAAGCAATCGTTAAATCATAGACATGTCATGGAAAGAATATGGAAATAATGTTGAATGAAAGCTAGCATCGCGTATAATGTTAAAAGCACCGCATATAGTGCTCGAACCACTGCGTATATTAATTGCAAAAGCAACGCGTATGTAAATGGTGAAAGCACCGCGTATAATGCTGGAACCACCGCGTATAATGCGGGAACCACCGCGTATAGTGGCGAAAGCACCGTGTATAATGCCGAAAGCACCATGCACCGTATAATGCTAAAAGCACCCAACAAAATGCCGTTTGATCACTTTAAGCCAGCTACATATGGCTTTCCATAAAAGATCAAAGATGAAAGATGATCACATTGTCTGTTTGCCTTATGCCTGACCGCGCTGCACCACGGTTAAAATTCACTGGTACCGTCATGCAATGCGCCAAATGGAAAATTTTGATTTCGACCCACAAAACAAAATTAGGATCTGCTGCCTTGCTCGCTCGCTTCAGGCTCGCTCGCTGCGGCAGCAATAAAGAATACTAATTAGGAGTGTTTTATCAGGTTTAAAGCCACTGCACGTGACATATTATGGTTGACATGATTTGCCAATAAGCTTATGAATTATTAATGAGTGTTTGAAATTTGTTTTATAATATATAGCACAAAGAAATATAAAGAAAGAAATTTTCCGACGTTTCCGTGTTGACATTGAGTTATAGCAACACGGCTCTTAGCCAATCAGCGTTCAGAATTTACAAATGCTATATTATAATTAACAAATATAAAAATTTTCCGTGTTGATATACAGTTTTAGTATTTTTGCACAAGTGAACATAACAAATCCTACAAGGTTATTGGTCAAATTTGACGTATTAATCTGTTATATTCACCTGTTATATTCACCAAAATCGAAATTTTCAAAATGGCGGCTAGCCGTTTGGTTGAAGTTAGTGATAAAGAAATAAGCGAATTCAGACCAGAAAACACAAAAAAAACTTGTGCAAAAATACTAAAATAATTATTCGCCTCAGGCTCGGTGATTATCGGGGAATATTATACCTCAAATTTAAATTGTCCAATCAGGAAGCTAGATTTGTACCACGTGAGCATGAAATTTATCATCGTATCGCGCTTACGTCATTCGTATTTGGTGCAGCAGGAAATTTCAGTCATATTCACCGGTGAATATGAGTCAAATTCACCGGTGAATATGATTCGCGTAGACCACGCGAGACAACACGCATGACAACAACATGGCCGACAAAGTATAAATAGTATTGATGAGTGATGAATAATCTGGGTAAATGACGTAAAACCTGGGGCTTTTTCAAAATTTTGAAGTAAATTTTGAAAAATGTTGTCATTAATATTCCAAACGATATGTGATTCGAAAGAAAAGCGACGATACTTGCGTTAATCCGAAACTAAAACATCGTATTCACGAAGGTATGTGTCAAGTTTTTATTTCTCAACTTGGAGGCTTTTAATTTTCGGTATAATATATCATTTATAGACCCTCCGCTCGGGGGATTCGGCGAAATATTTCCCGAAGTGATGATATTTCCCTCGGGCTTCGCCCTCGATCCCCCTCGCTCCGGGTCTATAAATGATAAATATTCACCTCGACTTCGTCTCGGCGAATATTCCCCGATAATCACCTCGCCTTCGGTGAATAATTGTTAAATATCAACACGAGTGGAAATTGGGAAAACGAGAAATTGTGTGGAAACACGACGCCCGAAGGGCGAAGTGTTCTCACACAATCTCGAGTTTTCCCAATTTCCACGAGTGTTGATATAACTATATATCAATACGGAAAAAATGTTTTATATTAGTTTTATAATATAGCACAAAGAAATATAAAGAAATATATTTCCCGACGTTTCCGTGTTGTCATTGAGTTATATCAACACGGCTCTTAGCCAATCAGCGTTCAGAATTTACAAATGCTATATTATAAATGCTTATATCCTTGCATAAGCCATAGCCTATCGAAGCCATCATAGCCTATCGAAGGGCAGATGGCTGTGAAACTCATTAGAATAACAATGTAACTCATTATTTATGTTAGTCAACGTTTATTCATAAATGTGGTCGTTTCACCGTCACGTGTGTATTGTATTTTTACCAAATCCACCAATAGCAATTTCCAGTTTCCCTATATTGTTCGAGTCACGGATAGGTGACTTTCCTAAAACATTACTATTGGTTAGTTGGTTAAAAATACAATACACACGTGACGGTGAAGGACCAGATTTATGAATAAACGTTGACCAACATAGATAATGAGTTTTATTTTTCACCCTGCTCGGTTTCCTTTGTTCTTATCGGGGAATATATTCAATATTCCACTCTATTCAATTTCCGTTTAATAATCCCCTCTAATATTCACCTGCAATTAATAATCCCCTCTAATATTCACCTGCAATGTCTTTGCAGCACAAAAAATGAGAAAAAACAACATCGCAAAAGCAATATGGCATTGAGAATTATTTCTTTTCTGACTCATTAACGCGACCTCGCAGTGTGAAAAATAAGTACGTTATTTTGAGGCACCTCGGGGATATGTGTTTATTCACCTCGGCGCTGCGCGCCTCGGTGAATAAATCACATATCCCCTCGTTGCCTCAAAATAACCTATACATATTGTTATTCTAATGAGTTTCACAGCCATCCCCTCTTCGATAGGTTATGATATAATATAATCCTTAATTATACTAACCCATGCATTTGATAACGTATAGTATACTATTCTTATACTAGCATAATTTCTAGATACTCACTGCATTCATTTCCAAATATTTATATCAGAATTTTAACTGATAAAGCTCCAGAAATTGTGAAAATAAAATAATCAAACTTTTTTAATATTTTTGCTCAAATTTATTCGTAGAGTTTCTGGTTTTATATACCGGATAACTCTGACAACCACGTTAATCCATTAAAATCTAAGTGAAGAAAATAACAAATGTTTGCTTTCTAGAATCATTTAGAGTTGAAAAAATTTTCCAACTTGTCCAAGCTAGGTATGGTGGAAGTTAGGTCGGACGTACTTCAATCCTTTTTACATTGGGATTTTTAAGGACAATTAATCCCACCCATCTACGTTAATATGGATGGTTTGTGGCCTTTTAACATTACGATTAATGTATAAAACTAAAACTAGTTTGTGACAGAAAAGAAGGATAAAGAGTCGTACAAGTCAAACAAAAAGTAGAAGGCAAACTGTTGGTTATTTTCAACTAACATCAATACATTAAGATATTTAAATAATATCAAGTTTTTTTGCTTACGTTTGGTTGCTTATACACATAGCAATACCGAGAGGGCGATAGATTATATTATTTCCATATAGTGTATATATGGAAAATCTAATTTAAAGTTGAATAAAGATTTGCACCAATAAGATTCAACTTAAATCTTATTCGTACTGATCTTTATTTAACTTTTCTGTTTGTAATACAAAACTTAAGTTGTAAGCTGTTGTATACAGTAGGTGGTGTTTCCACAAAAATGGGGTTTTTTTCTTACGTGGTGTTTCCACAAACAATATAGTATTATATGTTTTATCGCCATGCAGACCTACAAAGAACTTAAAACTTATATAGTTTTCTATAGACACATGTTCGTTAATACATTGAATAGATTTGGCCATTTAAGCCAGTAAATACTTTCGCAGCTTGTAAGACAAGTATTCAAAATGTTGAATTTTTTGCACGCGCCGAAGAACGCTTACAGTGTGTGGGACAGCGAGTTATGGCTATTCTTGAAAGCGCAGGTGCATGTATAGCGGTTTCATGATATTTGAATATTTATCATTGGAATATTCATCGCAGCTGTAACTTGCCTCACAATCATCAAGTCTCGCAACAAGCGATATGAATAAATGCGCTTTACATCAAGTGTTATACAGCTATTTCAATTAAGGTTGTCCCCGAGCAAAGCGGAAAAGTCAAATACTCTGAACGAAATATATTGCTTAGTGCAACATCTTTTGCAATGCAGTGTTGAAATTGTGTGTTTTTTTTTACATTGCGGGACAATCAAGTTGCACAGTGTAACAGCGTCTGTAGAACCTGATTCTACTTTGTGCAAAAAAAATTGTGCGGAACTCTAGGATTGCAAGGGATGTTACACTTTGCAATTTTTATTTTTTAGTTAAAGTGCCCCTGTGACAAAAAGTCATATCTCCCATTTAGATCTTAGATAACATTTCCTCGAAATAAGCTAGCACGGCGTTCTTGGTTTTTCAATCTTTTAATATCTTTAATATTCAGCTTTTTAAAACATGCAAATTAGGTCAAAAGTGACGTCATTTACTCCAGAGTATTAAATCAGATTTAGAAAACGATGAATATCTTTCTTTGTGATGGGTAAAATTCACTCAATCTTTGCAGCACTGTATAGCTATGTGGTACATACACATTTCAATGTGTACATACAGTGTTTCCATGGAAACAGTACAAAAAAATAACTACTTCACTAAAAAATGTTAATTGGGTTTTCCGCCCCATTTGTGAAAAATACGGTTTAATTGCTTTCTCTTTACTTAGATTACAATTTAGTCTAACATGCAAGTTGTCCATTGTGTTGCAGCAAATTGCGAGACAAGTTGTGTATAGTATAACAGCGCCTTTATTTTTGTTGTTGCAGGTGCTGTGTGTAAACACTGCAAACCACAGGAATCTCTGTTTTATCAAAAAGAAATTGCTAGTTTAAACTATTTGGAAGAGAAATTCTCCCGTCTTTGGACCCAATGTCAGGAATGTCAAGGTAGCTTACATCATGACGTGTTGTGCACCAGGTAAGAACTGTCTCTGGGAACTTTACGATTTTTCAGTAAATTGCAGCAGGCACATTGCATGGGCTAGTACCGGTCTTGACAAAAAGTACACACGGGTGACCGCCGATGGTCCACGAGTGATAAAAGGCCGTTTTGGAACAGATTGTTATAAAAGGCGAAAAATGTTTTGTTTTCGTAGTTTTCACTAGCGGGAATAACACTCGGCTTGAAATATAAACCCATTACGGAATTACTAACTACGAAAAAATAATATCACATAGAATATAATATAAGTTTGTAACTATTTATTATTTCGCAACTCAATTATTTTTCTTACATCACAATAACAACTCAGTATTCAAATCTGTATATCACACCAGTTGTGTGATTTTACAATGTTAACAACAACATTCTATTGTGTCATCAAACCTTTGCTGGCATGAGTTTTTATTGTGATGCAAGAAAAAGAGTTGAGTTGCGAAAATGTAAATATTTACAAAGTTACTGTGATATTATTCTTGCGTAGTTAGTATTAGTAATTCCGTAAGAATGAGTTTGTATTTTATGCCAAGTGTTATTCCAGCTGGAATATTTCGCCTTTTATAACAATCTGTTTTTATCACTCGTGGTCATTCGTGAATTCGTGGTCACTCGTATGTACATTTAGTCGAGATCCCTGACTACGAAAGAATATTATCACATAGAATAATAATAATAATAATAATAATAATAATAATAATAATAATTAAAGTAACATTCAGAAAGTAACTAAATGAATAAAACGACACTTGCACCCTGTGTTTGAACCTTTCATTTTTGTGCGTAAGCCATTTTTAATGTACTGTTTAATAAACGAGCAGGAGTGTTTTATTAGGTTTAAAGCGCGCAGCGCGAGTGGCTTTAGACCTAATAAAACACGACCTGCGAGTTTATTAACCGGCTTCAAACACGACTACAAATTCAATAGATATATTGCCTTATTAGTATTCTTTATATAAAGAATACTAATGAAGACACGACTACAATAGACACTGCCTTATTAGTATTCTTTATATAAAGAATACTAATTAGGAGTGTTTTATCAGGTTTAAAGCCACTCCACGTGACATATTATGGTTGACATGATTTGCCAATAAGCTTATGAATTATTAATGAGTGTTTGAAATTTATTTTATTATTTTTTAAAACAGCATAATTCCTGAACTCAAAAATTACATTTTCTGATTAATTTCAGTGTTGTAGCGAAATCAGAAGACCATGTTTATTTTGCGGATTTTTTAATTTGGTGGTCATTTACAATTGTGTACTTTTTTATACACCTTGTATCTTTTAATAATTGTCTTTTTAATCGAGATTGTCCCATTTGGGCATGTGACTTGATATAACTAATTGTTGAAGGGATTTGTAGATGGAAATTTGCAGATGGAAATTTGCAGTGAATCTCCCCTCTGACAGAAATCAAACCTGCGGCCCTGCAATTCGGGCGCAGCGCTCTAACCAGCTAGATACAAAGAGAGAGAGAGTTACAATTCCTCTGGCGGGTTCGAGGGCCGATAGTCGATTTTTCGCAACTGGTTAGGTCTAATAAATGTACAAAAGTTCCACTCGAAATTATTTATGTAATGTGATTCTCATTATTGCAAACTACCTTACCGCTGAACAATGCAGGCATTCTTATTCCGCGGCTTTGTTTTTATGCACGTGTGAAAAACGCTTGTACTTGAAAAATGTATGTAAATTTTGGAATTTTATGGTCTTCTGATTTCCCTGAAACCAAATAGTCTAGGACCTGTATATGGGTCTATAATAGTCTAGGACCTGTGTATCTCAACTGTTTTAGGGTAAAATGACCATGGCGGTCAACATGGCATATATGTGCCAAAACCTGAATCCGGGACGAAAGTCCTGAAAATGACCCCGCCCTGAAACGGCAGTGTCGACATAGCTCTAACTTCCGAAAAGGAAAAGCAATAGCCTTTCTGAAGTGCTTATAGTGTTTAGAAGGGTTGCTTTTAGGGGTGGTCATTGGAAGGAAAAATTTGTCTAAGTATAATATTTTACAAGAAAATGACCATGCACCACCTCAGGTAAATTGCTAATTATTATTTTATGAATACTAATATGCCTCGCAGAAATTAAATTTTCTTATTTCCTAAAAATAATTTTCATGGGATAAAAAACTATGCTTAATTTGACATAATTATTGTGGATTTCATAAGGATTGTCATTTGTTTTCTTTAAATACAGTACATTTTATTTCACCCCCCTCCTCCCCACGAAAACACGATTTCAGCCATATTTGGCCGTCTTGTTTGCTTTTTATCACCGAATCTCGCAAATATCATCCAGTTGTTGTACATTTACGTAATGATAAATGGCTAAAGAAGATTTCAACCAAGTTTCATCAAGTTTTGAAACAGTGCAGTGTACTTTATCTTCCATATTGCGTCGTTCGATATTCCGTGAAATATGGCGCCATTGCAATGGCTCGCCGCTTCTTTGCCCGATAAATGCCACTTCTTCGTCTTCCTATGTATTTACATTACAAGAGTAAGAGTACTTCATTGTAGAATAGTCCCAATCGAAAAATTGGAAACATTAGTTGCATTTGAAAGGAAAAAAAAACCCATAACACTTGCTGTGTGGCACAATGCAAAATAAGTACTTTAAAAGTCACGCGCAAGTTCGCGAAAACTCCTCGTGGGCTACATGGCAGGGCGGGGATATTTCCACGAAACGTTTGTTCGCCACCACAGCAACCTAACTAAATATATTTTTTTTGTATTTTTATGATTGATGATAAAAATACGGAAATATTTATTGTTTTTATCATAAATCACAACAATGCAATAAATATAACGTATTTAGTTAGGTTGCTGTGATGGCGAACAAATGTTTCGTGAAAATATTCACACACCCCCACCCCCGCCCCCCTCTGTCGTGTAGCCTACGAGGTATTTTTGCTAACTTGCGCGTGACTTTTAAATTACTTCTTCTGAGTTCTGACACGACAAGTGGTATGGGAGGTTTTTCCTTTCAAATGCAACTAATGTTTTCAATTTTCGATTTTTAGAAAATATTTTAATTTCTGCCAGGCATATTAGTTATTTTATGCATATATAATGATCAATTTACCTGAGGTGGTGCATGGTCATTTTCTTGTAAAATATTATACTTAGACAAATTTTTCCTTCCAATGACCACATCTAAAAGCAACCCTTCTAAACACTATAAGCACTTCAGAAAGACTATCGCTTTTCCTTTTCGGTAGTTACAGCTATGTCGATACTATCTCAAGAACTAAGCATGGGAACAAAAATCTTCAAAACAAGTTACTATACAGTTTTAAGAGCATTTTCGTTTAAGAAAATAAAAATTTTGATGCGAGTGCCACTTTAATATTTATTTTATTATTTTACTTTACGTTTCAGGGCGGGGTCATTTTCAGGACTTTTGTCCCGGATTCAGGTTTTGGCACATATACCCATGTTGACCGCCATGGCCATTTTACCCTAAAACAGTTGAGATTACTTGTCCTAAATGAATCGCATACAAACTCATATACAGGTCCTAGACTAAAACTTAACATTCAATTTCTGATCTTTAATTTTTTAACAACTGTCTTTTTAGTCGAGATTGTCCCATATTTTACATGAGAAAGAAAACCAAAAAAGATTTGGTCGATCAGCACAAAGTTGTGGCAAGATTTGGTAATTGCTCATGGTGAACCATATGGCATGTGATCACTGATGTGACTCCATGACGATAGCGAAACTGGTGCAAGGAACCAAACAAGGAACCAATTCATCTCTTCGTGTATAAAATGTTGTCTAAATTTATAAATACCAAGTACCTATATTATTTGTAATAAATTTGTACCATAATACATCAAGGCCGGATTTTGGTGGAAATGCTATGGAATTTTAATCGTTATGCGCATGCGCGAGTACAAACCGAGAGTTGACTCAATCAATCAATCAAAATATTTATTAATGATACCTTAAACTGATAAATACATTACAGGCCCTGCAGGAAGATCTAGAAGTTAGCCCTATTATTGATCCCCCTAAAAAAGTTACTGAGTAAAAAATAAGTTTAGGTTAGTTTAACAATACAATACAGGTTAATGGTGTCCATATAGCTTTAATTCCTGTTTGAGGATTGATATCTACCAAGGTCGTGATTGGCTAAGATAAAGATTTTGTTTTTCTTATACCACGTCACAAGTTTAACTGTCATTTTCATTTTGCAAAATTTTTGAAGTTTTTATATACTTTAGTTTCAAACAAAACAAAAGTTTGCAAAGAAATATTCGGCAATCATGTTTCGCTCGCTACTCTGGTTTAAATAAATGATTACAAAGCCCAGTCGAATTGTAATCAAGATCCAACGTTTCGACACTCCAATCTCAAATTAGCGAATGAACTCACCCTAATTCGTCACATGATTGAGGTTGGATACCGCAGGAAACACGCTAAAAATCATATACCATCACTGTTGTTAGATGAAAAACGGTTTTCATCTAATAACTGAGATCCTAATTACATGCAAGTTCAAGTCAAAACACAACAATATACTATAATAATATATATAAGCCAATGAAATGTTTTCGTTTGAGATGTTGTGTAAACAACTCGTTTCTCGTGTTTCATCAGGGGACCAAACACTCGAAAACAATAAAACGCTTCGCGCTCGTGTTTCATACAGTTTTCTCGTGTTTGGATCCCCTGATGAAACACTCAAACTCGTTGTTTACATATAACGTCTAGTGTCTTCATCAGGGGTGATCTAAAATTGCAATCGTGGCTTCTTAAATACCTAAGGGATGACGTCACCTGCCAATGAGATGCATATATTCCTCTGGCAAATAGGCACCGTCATCCCTATTCAGAGCATGATTACTCATATTTATATGCCACGCTTCTAGGCAAAGTCTTTGACAATAGCGATTGTTTGTGGTAATTACTTTAGAGTTTCCCACGCAATCTCGTGTTTTGTGTAACATACATGCTCGGCTAAAGCTGATTTTCCCTTGTCTAAAGTTGAAACAGCCTTTTGATGTTCTTTTAGCCGTGTACCAAACTGGCGTTTAGACTGACCCAAATACTCTTTCTCGCAGTCACCGCATGGTATAGAATATACAGCATGAGTTTTCTGATTTGTTTTAACAGGATCTTTTGGCTTTGCGAAAATATGACCTAAAGTCAATCTATGGCTCAAAATATGGCCTAAAGAAAATATGGCAGAAAATCAGCTTTAGCCGAACATGTATGTTACACCAAACACGAGATTGCGTGGGAAAACTCTAAAGTAATTACCACAAACAATCGCTATGGTCAAACACTTTGCCTAGAAGCGTGGCATATAAATATGAGGAATCATGCTTTGAATAGGGATGACGGCGCCTACTTGCCAGAGGAATATATGCATCTCATTGGCAGGTGACGTCATCCCTTGGGTATTTAAGAAGCTACGATTGCAATTTTAGATCACCTCTGATGAAGACACTAGACTGGAGTGTCGAAACGTTGGGTCTTGATTACAATTCGACTGGGCTTTGTAATCATTTATTTAAACCAGAGTAGCGAGCGAAACATGATTGATATACCTGGTTGCAGTGAACGAGCAAACTTTATATCTAT